TGATAAAATTGATAATATTAATTAGTGATTGATATTATTGTGGTGAGCCACAAATTCAACGTTTCAAAAAAGCAACGTTTTTTTTAAAAAACGCAAAAATAATGAAATTTTAAATGCGTTTCGTTTAAGTTGGACAGCCTTTTTGTTCTGTCGTATTTTGAAACGTTTTAAATTTTGAAGTGATAAGCATGGATAAGGATACAACATCTTCTAAAAAGTAAAAAAAAAATGACACAATAATATTTTTATGGAATTATGATATTATGACATTACAAAAAAAAATTTGCTAATTAAATATAGGGGGGGGGCAAGTCTTGTCTTTTTTGTTTTGTTTAGAATTGAGACGTTTCGTATTGAAAAAAAAATATAGAAGTTAACGCTTCGATTTAAAATATAGATGCGCTTACGTTTTTTTTATTAATTAGCGTTTTGAAACGCTTGTAAAGATCTGCAAAAGTAGGTCCGAACTTATTTCGGGTCGGGGCCGGTTTGGTCCGAAATTTTGAAGTATTTGATATATTTTAAGTTTTTTTTTAACAAGGAAACAAAGATGCCGATACTTTTTTAATATCTGTTTGTAATAATGAGCAAAAACTCGGTTATGTTCAGTGGGTGATAAATTTTCTTAAAAAAAATATTTCGGGCCGGATATTTAAAGCCGGGCCGGATATCTCGAGCCGGGCGGGTTCAAAAAATTGATCGCTAATAACGTATCTCTTTCGAAAAAAAAATTGTTCCAAATATTACTCTCAAACAAACTGTCGTCAATCTTGATCTGTATTCTTCACTACGAATGAGGGTACACCGAGAAAGAGCATTAGAAGAATAACCTCCTGGAGGCTACATATTGAATCTGAGAAGAGGCTCTGTTATAACCAATGCAGCGATATTAATTATTCGCCTCGACTGTTTATTCGTATGTTAAAACGCTTTTAAAATAATGTACACGAATTTGAAGTGCGACATTAGTGCAATAAAAAAAAATTGTTATCCTATAAGTAGGCTGACTTATTTGATTCCTAAATCTTACGTATTGTATTCAACTTGAGAAGTATTAACGCCGTAACCATAGCTCAAACATTCAGTATCCGCTATCATTAATTACCGACTCAAAAATACCGATATCGAAACGTTATACCTTGATTGGGTAATGAACCATAGATATACTGTATACAATATCGTGTCTAAGGGGGGAAAATATGAAATCCTTAGGGGGGTTCAAAATCTCTCAATTTTAAAATCACTTATACTGGGTGGAGATTTTAAAATGTAATGTAATCTTGCCGGAAATTCTCTTCTCTTCTCTTCTCTTCTCTTCTCTTCTCTTCTATTCCGGCATGTATAGAGTAGAAGATCGGGAAATTGTTTTCAGGTCCAGCCATGGCCCAGTGAGAATTTAGCATTGGCCTGATCTAGCTCAGTTTCAATTTTTTTTTTTTTACTAAAGTTGTCAGGCCCGTAGATTCAAATTTATTTTAAATACAAACCCTAAATCGAGTACATGTTTAATGGATTATCACTTCTATGAAATATCAGAATTCAAAATTTTTCCCGACCCGGCCCGCTAATTTTTTTTGCCTGACTCAGGCACAAATAAGTCTTTTCGGAAGTTACCCAGAACGAGAACAGAGTCGGGCGGAGCTTTGCAGACCTCTGGTGTTAGAGTGCCCTTCTTCCTTAGTAAATTACTTACAATTTTTGAATATATTTTGAGAAAAATCTAGAAAAATCTAGAAAAATAAAGTTCATATATTCAAGGGGCAAGATTATCCTTAATTCGTTATGTTGGATAACCATAACATATGCTGGAACAAATTTTAGGGTCAAGTAAGATATTTCAAAATTTAAAAAATGGCCCCTCAGTGAATGATTTAATAATTGATAAATTCCTAATCAGATCCCGTTACAGCATTATGCCAATATATTTTAAACGTCAATTAATCTAGAATATTCCATATGTTCTTAATTTCCATTAACCCCTTTGATCATTCTCTATTGGATACTCTCTAATACCTTAGCCTACATTCGCGCTAATTGTGAGGGTTACGCCTAAGGGTTTTTTCGATGTTGTATTTTTTGAAATCAGAATCACGTGACTGTAACCCAATTAAAATATGATAACGCTTCAAAACGCGGGAAAAATGTCTGGAGGACGCGGGTATAGTTTATTAGGGCGAACGCGTAAAGCGTTAATATAAAATAATAGAACAACAAATCCATGTCTGTCACCCAACAATATTACTACTTTAATATCCGAGTTTTTTTTCTTCTTTACTAAGGGTCCGTAAAACATAATCCAAATTGGAAAGTGAAATACGAATAAATAAAAAAAAAGGAATTTTAAATCCCTCCTAAAAATGGTTAAAATGATCAATAACTAGCGATCTGCATCGGGCCTAACTTTTCAAGCCCGGCCCGAACCTGAATTTTTAAAAAAATATTGGGTCCGACCCGGCCCGAACCTAAATTTTTTAAAAAATATTGGGTCCGACCCGGCCCGAACCTGAATTTTTTAAAAAATATTGGGTCCGACCCGGCCCGAACTTGAATTTTTTAAAAAATATTGGGTCCGACCCGGCCCGAACCTAAATTTTTTAAAAATATTGGGTCCGACCCGGCCCGAACCTAAATTTTTTAAAAATATTGGGTCCGACCCGGCCCGAACCTGAATTTTTTAAAAAATATTGGGTCCGACCCGGCCCGAACATGAATTTTTTTAAAAATATTGGGTCCGACCCCGCCTAAATTTTAAAAATATTGGGTCCGACCCGGCCCGAACCTGAATTTTTAAAAAATATTCGGTCCGACCCGGCCCGAACCTATATTTTTCAAAAATATTGGGTCCGATCCGGCCCGAACCTGATTTTTTTAAAAATATTGGGTCCGACCCGGCCCGAACCTGAATTTTTAAAAAAATATTGGGTCCGACCCGGCCCGAACCCGATTTATTAAATAATATTAGTCCCGCCCTGGACGGGCTTCGGGCCGGTTACGGTCCGGACCTACTTTTGCGGATCCAATAACCCAATATGTTTTATGAAATATGAACCCCCAAAGTATTAATTTTATAATTTCCGTAAATGTTCTGCCACGTGAAATGGAAGAAAACAAAATGTAATTTATTCATTTAATTTTTCGAAATCGCCCCAAATTTTTTGGATTTTTGTTAATAAAATCGATAGATTACGCTTGATAGATAAATTAAATAAGTAAATAATATATGATGGCATCGAGGTGCATATTTATCCGGACCATCTAGCCCCGGGTTAAAAGACCAGCTCGCCCAAGTGGGGAAGGCGGGTTTAGGGTTGTTTTACTAAGCCTGATTCGGGTCGAATTTAAAAAAAATGATCCGATTTAAGATTTTACCCCCCAAAATAAGAATTATGTAACCCCCAAGATTTGGCAAATAGAGGCTCAAAGCTAAGCCTTCCTGCCATCTATGATCAAACTCTTACGTAATATCGAATTGGGATTTCTAACACCACTAGTCGCGTCATAAAATTTTATGATTTATGACAAAAAATGTATAAAAGACTATCCTTTGTGGCGCGACAAATCTACCAATTTCTCTATGGCGACCTAGGGGTTTAAGTGGAGACCATCTATAAATAGGAGTTTTCAAAAAAGGCAAAAGACGGACGGAACTCTTTCATTGTAGGTCTTCAATGAGCGGTTTTTAGCCGAAGGTCCACCCAGACGTCTTAAAATTGTCACTCCGTTTATTCTCCTGCCCATGAGTTTAAAAATAACCCTGCCCACCTGTTTCAATTATTTATTTATTTTAAAAAAAATTTATTTTAAACTTTGAAAAAATATGCAATATTATAAAGGTAAAAATATAATGATAATTTTGAATAAATAAGCTGCTCTCTTCATATTTCCCGCCAACAAAAATTTTAAATTAAACCGCCCACCAACTCACATAACCGTCTAACGTTCAATTTTTTTTATCAGTCGGTTAAAAATCGGTCACCTCTACCCATCATATATCTAATCAAAAATACGATGATTTTTAACTAAACCCCCCCCCCCCACCCCTCAAGAAGAATATAAAAATTTCCCTACATTTCTCTTAGATAAATATTATATACGCTATAATAAATAATTTTTATTTTTAAAACATTAAGATTTTAAATGTTGCCAATAAAATTATTCGGGCGAATATTATTTTTATCTCGATAAAATGGAAGGAAAATTAAAAATAAAAATAGGAAATATGGTTATTTTGCGCTCTAACACTAACCCTTAACCCCTAACCCTAATCTAATCGAGGGATGATATTCAAGATCTTGATCGATAAGCAATTATCCTGAATTAGTACGACTAAATATCATTTTTTTCCTTCTGCCCATTCATAATCATAACCCCAGATGGGGTTTAATTTATGATTATACATGCATTAGGGGTAGCCAGGATTTTGGGGAGGAGTAATAAATTCCAAGGTGGCTCGCCCCTAGAGCCCCCTTTTAGAGGGCCTTCTGGTCGCTTTTGTCTAGCCTTTGGCGGGTTACCTTAGCCCTATATTATATAGCTACAGGAATGATAGTCGTCAGTTTTTAGTTTTAAAAAAAAAAATTATTAACTTTTACATTCTTTCTTTCAAATTATTTGTTTAAGATATATATGCATTACATTTTTGTGGGACAAGGTAAGAAGGGGGGGGGGGGTGCTATGATTTATTTTAAATGATATTCACAAAAAGTGTCTCTTTATGTATTTTTCTAGTGTTGTTAAAAAGGTCCGATTTGGGGATCGATTTTTAAAAAAGAGCCCGAATTAAGAGTATAACCCAAAATAACATTGTGTAAGCCCTAAAGATTTTGTTTATAGCTGACAGAAATGCTTGGGACATCTCTTCGTCAAATCTCGACATAATATTATTTCAAACTAAAGTCTTAGATCGAGCCCCTTCGGAAAAACCGAACCCAAATCGTGCTTTTTAACAACACTAATCTTTACTATATATATATATATAGCTTGCTCTTTATTTAAGCTACCCATGTTATTTTAGCTGATTACTATTCATTCCCGACTCGGGTTTAGCTCAATTTTATATAAAACAGAAAATTGATTTTAATAAGGCGCCTCGATGATCAGAGCTTCTGTCTAGCGCGTTATAGCGGTGGATTGAGTCGAATCAGCTTACCATATCGTTTCCCAATTATCGTGGAAATTATCTTTAATTTTTATATTTAAAAATCTTTCAAAATTTTTTAGTATATTTTGTAATTATCAATAATTTCCAATATATATGTTGTGAGGGGATTCGGAATCTTTTGATTTTAAATCCTTTATCGAGGGCGATCGGAAATGTATTCTAGCATGTGTAGAGTATTTACCCTATTAATTTCAGCCAATTTTGCCATGAAATTTAAAACTACTTTCTAATTCATATTAATTTTTATACGGATTTTTCATGTAAATTAAAATAAATACTAAAATTTCTAGGGCTGAAATTGGCTGAAATTTATAGGATAAATAATCTACATATGCCAGAATCCATTTCCGGTTAAATAGGACCTCGGTAAAGGATTTAAAATCAAGAGATTCCGAATCCCCATATGACATATATATAAAGATCATTTTTAAAAAAAAATATTTAAAGAATAATTATAAACATTTAAATGAGAAAACCCCATCATAAAGTTGCGATTTTTTCTTAAGATTTAACTTCGTGTCTAAGAATAGAAAAATCTTTAAATCTTAAAGAAGATATTAAGAATTTGCTTGTGGCTGATCAGGAAAAAAAAAATGAAAAATATAATCAAGATATTTTTAAAAAAGAAAAAATAATTTTTCGAATTAATTTTGAAAAATAAAATAATTGATTTATTTTTCTATTTTTACCGATAATTGATATTGGATAATGGAATATTATACAAGATGTCGAAATTCCGAAAAGATATATACCGTAGATCAAATGAATCGAAGAATTATAAATGGCGAAAGTGGATAGTGATATAATTTTCATAGTTAGTTTTTTTTTTTAAACTTTCTACTTCAATTTAGCACTTTTAAAATTTTAACAACATTTATTCATTTATTTCTTTCCCACCCCTATTTTTTTTTTTTGAAAATCAATTTTATTTTCTATATTTTTATATAAATGATAAAAATATGTTTAAGGAATTCATTATTTTTTATAATTAAACTTAATATTTTATAATATATAAATATTTAAAATTCAAAAAAATACAAATAGTTTTTTGTAAATTTTTTTTATTTAAAATATAAAAATAAAAAATAATTTTAATTTTTTTCCGTTTACAAATCTTATAGTATCTAAATTATAAACTAAAATTAAAAATAATATTTTTAAAAAAAAAAAATTTAAACAAGAGAGAAAATAAAAGGAAAAATAAATAAATAAATAATTAAATTTATAATAATATTTGAAACTATATCTTATCTAGCAATAATAAATTGAATAAATTTATTTTTTAGCCTATTCCCAATTACATATAATAATAATTAGTGTTGTTAAACGGTTCATTTTTGAGCCGAGCCGAGAAGAGAAGAGAAGAGAAGAGAAGAGAAGAGAAGAGAAGAGAAGAGAAGAGAAGAGAAGAGAAGAGAAGAGGAAGAGAAGAGAAGAGAAGAGAAGAGAAGAGAAGAGAAGAGAAGAGAAGAGAAGAGAAGAGAAGAGAAGAGAAGAGAAGAGAAGAGAAGAGAAGAGAAGAGAAGAGAAGAGAAGAGAAGAGAAGAGAAGAGAAGAGAAGAGAAGAGAAGAGAAGAGAAGAGGAAGAGAAGAGAAGAGAAGAGAGAGAGAAGAGAAGAGAAGAGAGAAGAGAAGAGAAGAGAAGAGAAGAGAAGAGAAGAGAAGAGAAGAGAGAGAGAAGAGAAGAGAAGAGAGAGAGAAGAGAGAGAGAAGAGAAGAGAAGAGAAGAGAAGAGAAGGCATTAGTTAAAAGTGTACATCATAGAAAAACAACTGGGTAGGCCATTTTGGGTATCCGTACCATTTTTTAAAAATTTTAAACGAGAGGTCAATTTATTCCTATGTCTGACGCGAACATTATTAAAGGAATCGCCTTATCATCGAGATAAATAAGGAAGCAAGTTATCAATTTAGTAGTTTTTTTTAACCTGAGAATAATTACCATATGGTTTACCAAAATGGCGGGTCCAGCTGATTTGCGTCCAACGACACTTTCTTTCGAATGCATTATCATGAATGCATCGTCATCATTGCCAATCCCTTAAAAAATAAACTAACCAATCAGATCTTTCCTTTCAAAGTTCTCGGAAAATATAGATTAAATGTTTGAACAAACGGAATGGTTAAATAAAATGATACGCATATATGTATACAGGGAACAAGAATTAAGTGATAAGGGCCAAAGATCAGCGCAAAGGAAAATACAGTGTTAGCTTTGAATATTAGGATGCCATATATGTATCCCATTATAAATGGAAAAAAATTTCTAAATGTGTTTTATGAATAGATGTGGTTCTTCGTTAAATTCCCTGCTCGATATAGCTTAGGGAATAATAATATATTTGAAAATATAGATATTATCAAATGTCATAAATGAAAAAACACATGTAAATAGGAAAAGAGAGCCAACAGATGGCTGAATTTAGGTATTCATTAAGGCTCTGCGCTGTTAATCAATCTGTTTCATAGCAGTTATTCAAATTATAATTGGGTATAATAAATATCCGTGGTAAAAAAAAAACTAGTAGTATGGGATGATGCAAAGTGGAATGCAAAATTCATAAAAAATATTATAATGCTATTTGAATGGTAGAAGGTTATATCGCTTTGAATACTTAAGTATATTATTGTTACTTCTGCCTAGATGATATGGTTTTGTTAGGCAAATAAAATAATGGCGAAGATATCCAGATCTGTTGGAGGGGTAGTAAACAAAAAGCATATTTAAGAGGAGTCATCTAGCTAATTAATGTTATCCAGATTTTCCATGATGTAAAGAGAAAAAAAAATTGAGAAGATGGAGTTATTATTGGAAATGGGAACATGTTTGTTGGAATGCGTCTCTCATTTAAATAACTAGTTTTTATTATAATAAGAGTTAATATTGGAATAATATCATAGGTGGTAAACGCTAGAATTATTTCAGGGAAAATCAATAGATATCAGAAATTATTATAAATGATGGAACGTGTGGGTATAAGATATGAAATTGCTGAACCCAGACGACAGCAACCAATAAATAATGTCCTTTAGGGAAAACAAAACGCAATCATAAAGGAGAAGAGGGATGGACGGTAAAACAGGTGATTATCATGTAGGCGATTTAAATGTCAATCATTGATGCCAATTAAATATCAAATTAATTTTTAGAAATAGATAAATGCTAACCCGAACCGAAATTAAAATTTATTAGTAATAGTAGATAAAACTTAAACCCCACTGTATAAGAGTCTCAAAAAGTTCAATTTTTTTTCAAGGAGTATATTGCATTGCGCATTCAGTGCTTAATCTTTTGTATTGTTAATACCTCTGGATGTATAAATATAAATCAAACCAATTCAAAACATCAAAAATAGTTATATATAACAATTAATAATTCACATCGACAAAACGTTATTCATATCATATCATAAATATGAGTTTTTAAACAAAAAAGGATATAATGTTTTCAAAGAAAAGTATTTTACAATTCTTTTGAGTCCCTTAGTTCAAGAAGGTGAAATTGCAATAGAATTAATCTCTACTACGGTGAACATTGATTAATGACTTTGGAAAAGTCTTGGCATGTAAAATAAATTTTTCTAACTTATTTTATTAAAAGAATAATATTTACGTTTTATATCCAATTTTCAATTCTAAAAATGGTAAATATATATATATAAGAGTAAATATATATATATAAGAGTAAATGTTTTCTATAAGAAAACAGGGGGGACCACATGAAATTATAATAATGGTTTATTTATAAGGATGAATGTGAAAAAGTATTATTTTTGTATTAACTATTTAGCATTTTAATATTTATAATCTTGTATATTGGTTGGTTACCATATTGTATTCCCAATTCCCTTAGGATATATATATATATATATATATGATATACATATAATAAACTTTTATTCTTTATTTAATTCTAAAAAAAAAAAATTATTGTTTTGTGTATAGATAAAAAATAGTCATAATAAAACTAATTTTAAAAAAAATATAAATAGTCGCTTTTAACTTTGATGTAGAGATCTGCAAAAGTAGGTCCGGACCGTACCCGGCCCGAAGCCCGTTAAGACCGGGCCTACTTTTTTTAAAAAAAAGCGGGTTTTGGCTGGGTAGGACCTTATATTTTTTTAAAAATTTCGGGCCCAGATCACTACAAAACTTTTTTTTCAGCAAAAGTCCTTAATGTTCTGGGAGGCCTTGTCGCCCAAAATTTTTCTAGTAGAGTTAAGTAATTATTACAAAGTAGGAAGTAATTTCTACATCTATAACAGAATATTGCTAAACGGCTCGATTTGAGCAGATTTTTTTTGGGGGCTAACTCAATAATTTTATCCAGAGAAATATCACGCAAGCCTGGAAGAGTTTGTCCATGAGTGTCGCAACGGTTTGTACATCTACTAACAAAATTTTGAGGTTTTTCTTTTTAAAAATATCGGCTCAAACAGAGCCAGCCCTTTTAACAACACTATTGATAAATGACAGAAATAAACTTAACAAAATACAGATAATGAGCCGATAGCTCTTCCGATACGTTAGATTTTTTTTTAGCGGACTAATTTCAATTATTTAGCATTTTTTTTACAAAAATTTAAACTTTGTTTTCCTATCGTTACTCTAAGGGATCAATCTAATTTCAAGTGTTTGCCATGATTCACACAACGAAACGATTCCAAGAAACTTTCTTAGTGTTTTGATATAAAAAAAAATATTCGATAATATTTAGAAGTAAATAAATTTAAAACGTTAATAAGAATATTATAATATTACATTATTTTTTTTTTATGAATTATATACAAAGTTAATTTCAAGAAGAGGTTGTATTTTTACTTTTGTGTAAACAATATGAATAATTTATATAATTGTAAGAAATGATTAAAACTATAATACATTATAATAATATTTAATCCAATTCATGTGCTATCTACTATATATCGCATGAGAATTTTCGTTTTATTGAATAAGAATATTGTTGTTTTTTTTTAACTTGTATATTTAAATAAATACTATTATAATAATCGATAAAGAAACTATAATAATGATAATAAAAAAACCATTATTTTTGGTATATTTGGATAACGGTTGGTGTATATAATTATCAGAGTTGTTAAAGGATCTAGATACAAATATCTAGATCCTGTATCTAGATATAAAAATATGATATCTGTATCTAGATAGATTTTTGATTAAAATATCTATATCTAGATATTATTTTAGACGATGTATCTGTATCTAGATCCATTTAAAAGGTATCTTTTAGCTCTGATAATTATTCAAAAATAGAAATGAGTGGATAGGAATTTATTGACCGGCGCGGGAAATTTTTTCAGCAAAAGGAAGGAAAAGAAAATATTCATTTTTTAGAAGAATCGAATATTTTTTTTTCAATAATTCGTTTCGTACATATATCTCGAATGATTATTAAAAAAAAATAGTCTTTCTGGTCATGTCTGAACTTCTGAAGCCCTGACACATGTTGATCATTTATATCATAAAAAAAAAACTTTCCTCAAGGCCTTGCTCTGTCATCACATCTTTACTCCTGACCTGAAGTTTTATGAAAAATACGATTTTAGGAGATTTCGTTACATGGAATTAGTTTGATAATATTAGAAAGTGATATAGAGGGGGAGGGGAGTTGATTTATCTGTGTATTAGGATAAATGAAATTAAAATGTTAAATATCTGATATTTGGCTAAAGATATATTGGGTTGGAAGCATCATAATACAAAGAAAAAATCATATTTTTTGATTTTTTTTAATGCTTGGTTGGATTATCATCACGTGTATGTTGAA